AATTCAGAGGGTAAATAATCAAATTATCTTTCCATTCCTTATAGTCGCTTTCTTTCTGGAATTTGGAGAGTGCATTAAAGCCAAATCTTGTTGTGACCACTACAGTTGCTTTCATTCTCAATAATAGCAAACTAGTTTCATAACCTATTTTACATCTTCCTCCTGTAACGAATGCAACTTTTCCAGAAAGATCTCTATGCATCTTTTCCATTCCAATATTCCAATATTTACATTTGTGACACATGGATTTAAAGCCGTCCATCTTGTATTGATTGCACAAGTAGCATCTATCGAATCCATACTTGCTTTTATGATGGCTATCCAAATAACCTTCAGTAATGTACATGGATGTTTGATGAGTAACTCTTCAATGGTATGACAAAAGTAGTGAATATCATATTGTAAATAGAGCCATCAAATATAGTAGAAGAGGATTGGATACACTGTGTGTTGATTTGCACCCATTTGAACACAGACTCCATGCACAAACATTCATGACATGGCTCAGAGAGTTTTTAAGCTCACATTTCACTGGAATGATGATAATAGTTTTTCATTAAAAAATAATACCAAATCTATGATGATCATATCATCGATAATTTCGTAACTAGACCCATTAGAAATTGTGAAAATATCAATATCACAACAACCACAATTAGATACCAGATGTGTAACAAATCCACCTGCAATAATGAATCTAACATTGGTCTTTGTAGTACTGATGTGGGAACCTGTGCTGCTGTAGTCTTTTTTCAATTAACTTGGCAAATAGTTCTTTATCCTGAAATCTTAGGACACCTAAGGAAATATTTGGCTTGGTACTAAATACTGGAAAATGAAAAGAGTTTCTTCATAATCAACTACTGCCCCAATGTAGAATGCCAATAATATTAATGACTAAAAAATAATTAAATTTAAGATTTTAATAAATTTCACTTAATGATTTAGACGGGAAGCCTGCCAGGAATATGGCGACAATCCCGCTACAGTCTTTGACTGTATGAACAGTGAATTCAAGAGTTCTTGGACGAATCTTGTTTGTTCAGGTTATTGAAGAATAAAGATAGCTAACAATCGAGTTTATTTATTGCTTTTTAAAAGTGTAGCCTTGCTGATCTTTATTTTGGTATTATTTTTAATATTAAAAACTACAAAAAAAATGAAGAGAATTCCACAAAAAGAAGAACATCAAGAAGATCATGAACAAGAATTAGTAAAACTAATTCTATCCGATAATTTATTAAAAATTCCACAAGGCTTGAAAGATCAACTCGGAGTAAACAAAGTTAAAGTACTCCATATTAATTTCCATAAAATAGATTATACACTCCCAAAACTTGATGGTACCATTTCATATATTACTACTGTTACGACTAATCAATTAAATAATTTAATAATTGCCATAACTACCAAGAATCAATGTTATG